GTGTGTGTGTGTGTGTGTGTGTGTGTGTGTGTGTGTGTGTGTGTGCATGCGTGTGGGGGGGGAGTCAAAGAGCGAAAAGGAAGGGAAGGCGCTGAGCGATCTGTCAGCAGGAAAAGGGGATCGCTGCGGTGAAAAAAGAGATGGAGAAAGAAAAGAGGAGTGCAGGAGGTGGCAGAGGGACAAAGGGCTTGTTGATGAAAGTCGCCACAGAGAGAGGGAGGGAGAGGCTGCAGTCAGCACACACCATGGCAGCCATGTGGATGTGCACGTAAATATTTCACTGGATGTGTTCATCTGATGTCACGCAGCATCTGCAGATTTGTTTTGTTGTTTCAGAGCAGTATTGATCCTCACGTCTCCTGCTTGTGGCAGACATAGAGGAGACACTCAAGGTCGTATTGTTGTCAGTCTGTTGTAGGGTTGGGCGATATTAGCTAAAAATAATCACGGTTAATTGTGGTATGTAACTGATTAATGTGATAAATAATCCCTGGGGTCCCTGGATGCCTGCATGCTCCGGTCACATGATCAATTTAAATCACTCTAGCTGTAAAGATTTGTTCTCTGCATGAATCTGTTCCAAAAGTACAAACTTCGGGTTTAAAGCAATGTTTAAATTGTGTTGATGGCCCAATTAAAACCAGAGTTATGATGAATAAATTACAGTTTTTTTATGTTTGTCAGATTTGAAGAGAGGATCAGTCAATTTGTCCGGTGGCATTAATTTTATTAATGGTCAAGTGCCAAAAAATAATCGATTAAAGTTTTTCTGACGATCGAACACGATACGATGTTTCCCAACCCTCGTCTGTCRGAGAAAAGTAAAATGATCAAGTTTGTCAGATAAAAAGCAATAACACTCCTTCTGCATTTAATTTGGAATCATTCGTTTATTTTAACCAACAGTGTCWAAGGTAACGATAGTTTAGCTTGTGTTGGTGTGTTTGGTGTGATGTTAGCAAAATATCGCATGAGTCAGTGGAGGAGTTTTACCAAACCTATTAGAAACAAATGATTGGATCTGCATCTGATTAATGACTGTAGCTTCCTCTAATGTACAGATGTTGACTAAAATTTGATGTGGTTTAATCTGAGAGTTTTTCACAAAGAGAGCGACAAGCTTCAACGTCTTGTGCAAGATTTCACAATATTACATGAGATTCTTTAGAAGGCTTGAACAAAATGCACAAAATGATTTAAATGTTTGGCATAAAATGGGTCAGGATGCATTTTTTAAGGAATGCTAATTTTAATTATTATTTTTTAATGAAGCCTGGTAATTAGCTGTATGATAATGTGCCAAATATGAAAATATTTGCTCAAAGTCACAAACGGTCGTATCTGTCCAAAGTGATGAACATAAGGTTGGTGAGGAAAAGAGGTAAACAACATTCCGTCAGAGCTGCAGCCGTGGTGCTGATGAGAGTGATTGTTTACCGTTGGCAGTGAGGGGCGGCAGTCCTCCGAGCCAATCATCTGCAGCTCCGCCCACTCTCATGTGTTCAGTGCTTGTGAAAACGTGAGCGAAGGGTGAGGGATGGGTGAGGAAGAGGAGGGGCGGCAGAGCGCAGAATAAAGAGTGTGGTTGGCGGCATTGCGGAGAAGACAAAGACTGCAGCATCTCAGCGCAGACCTCCATCCCTCTGAGCGCCCTCCAGGACCTGGTCYCTGACAAACAGGAGCGGTCTGGCTGCTCCCTCCTCTTCCTCTCCGGCTGACAGAGAACGAGCTGCAGCCATGCCTGAGTGTTGGGATGGGGTGAGTGGAGCGTGCTGTCATCTACGTCACCATGAGGTTTTGGGGGTTTGTGTTTGTTTGTGTCTCTTTTTTTTAAATTATACATTAAATTTGATGGAAATGTAAGTTGTTTTTAATCCTGCTGTGCTCAGTGTGCACAACAAGTGCCAACTGGTGGGTCAGCTTTTGAATCTGGCCCACTGACACACATAAACAAACAAACACAGACGCTGCTTTAAAGCTCTGAGGATGATGATGCTGAGAGTGTGTTCGCTGTTTTTTAAATGTAAATAAGAACAAGTAAAGCATGTTTGTTTGTTTTCTTGTGCATGTGAAGCATTTTTGAGCCTTTTCACATTAAAAAGAWGAAAAATCACTTCAAACATGTGGAAATCATAAATAATGCTGGGGTTTCACCTCCATAAAGATATTCTGAGAGTCTTTCTTGTGCTTTAATCCAGAGCTCATGGTGTCACAGAATCTCTGATAGAGTCACCGCCTCCAATTAGAATGTTGATTGAGGATAACTCTGATGTCRAGGCTGAAATAATAGCGAGATAATCTGTCGGGATTAACTGGTAACTGTTTGCTGCATGGCTGTCTGGTCCTGGAGGGGATTATGGAAAAATCTGGTGGTTTGCAGGATCCATAACTGCTGTGTGTTTCTGTGCTGCGAGGGATTTACATGGCCTCATGGTGAATGTTTGGTGTGTTCCAAATAGCAAGTGGCTGTTGAAGGACGCTGCAGATTGACAGGAGGATTTTTAATCAGCTGTTTTGTACGGGGTGTTAAAACATGACAGTGTGTGTGTGTGTGTGTGTGTGTGTGTGTGTGTGTGCGTGTGTGTGTGTGACTGGATTGCGCAGTTCACAATAACACTCGTCTCATACCTCCATTTTGCGTTTGCCTCGCTGTGACGCTGACAAAATGTGGGTCAAAACATGAGGTGTTGCTGCAGCTGGACTGAGTTTACACACCTCACAATTACAAAAACATAACATTTAGCAYTTTTTTATTACTTTGCATGTATGCAACTTCTAAGAGTTTGATATTTGACGGTTGCAGATTTTGCTACATATGTTTTTTTTAAATAAACAAACTGAGACGTCAGCAGGAGGGTGCGCGCCGTCATGTCTACATGTTTTCCACTTGCATGTTTTTTTAGTATTTTTGTCARAAACTGAAAAAGGTACTTTTACTTTGGGTAAATTATTTGTATTTTATTTTTTTATTATTATTCTGAAAGAGTACCAAAAACTGTTTCTACGTCTTGATGTTGATAAAAAAAATAAAAAAAATAAAAATGCATCAACATCTGTTGAAACTATTCGGCCACACCTTTAAAACCTTATCCATTGAATTAAAAACGTGACATTTTCTATCTATGTCTCCAAACGAGACCCTGCAGCTCTATCAAACATGGATGAGAACCAAGAGAATCTCAGTATCACCGGAGCGAGTTGAGTAAGAAGCAGCTGAACTGATGAGCTGTTGTATTTTAAATCAGAGGAGTTGTGTGTCAGTTGCGTGACACTTCAGGTGAGTTTGTGTTTTTCTCTGTTTCACAGGAACATGATGTCGAGACCCCTTACGGTATGCTGCATGTGGTGATCCGAGGGGCACCCAAAGGAAACAAACCTGCCATTCTCACCTACCATGATGTGGGGCTGAACCGTGAGTATTTCGAAAATAAATAAAGAAAATGTAAAAGATACAAAAAAATGGTGTGTGGACAGATGTTAGAGTTTCTGCACTTTCCAGAGGTGATAATTAGCTTCTTTATCACTTTATACTCTGTTTTTCTGTTTTAAAGAATAAATAGAATCCTATGGTTCCACTTTACAATAAGGCTCCCCATATTAGGCTTATAAATAGTTTATAAATAGGTTATTAAATCATCTTTAAACACTTTAGAAATCATTAATAAGTGTTTATTATGTATTAATYAAGGATGAGAAAGCCAAAACTTTCTGGTATCTTGCTAAGTAGTGATCCAAATCTGTTCATGTACAAATTACTTCTAAAGGTTCTAAATTAAACATTTGTAAGCACAATAACGATTTGGAAACACATATCTTACATATAATATTGTAGTGTATTACTGCATTATACATATCCACAACTATCAAAATGAGCCTTATTGTAAAGTGTAAGACAGAAGGTGCACTCTTTAGCAAGAAACCAGACAGTTTTGTCTCTTTCTCGTCTTTAATTAATACATAATAAACACTTATTAATGGTTTATAAAGTGTTTACAGATGACTTAATAACCTATTTATAAGCCATCTATAAGGGGAGCCTTATGGTTCCAGAATCCTGAAAGACTGACTCCAATCAATCAATCAATCAATAAATAAATTGTTTTTAAAGAAAACTTATTTTAAAAGTTTTCAGTGCTGGAAAAATTTGTTGCATGACCACAAATRCAATTAAACAATTAGAAATTAAAAYTAAAAACTAAGTTTAAAAGTCAAGCTAATGKTTTTATTTCATTATCATCTGCAGCTGGAGGCAAAAGTGAGTTACTGTTTGGTCTGCATAGTAGAGTATTGCACAACGTCTTTGCTAATCCTACACAAAAATGGCAGCAGCTTTATTAAATTTCTTTTAATTATGAGTGAAAAACAAAAGATTTATGTGGCTTAAAATAAASACTGAAGGAAGTTACTCAGCTAATTTCACTTTGGGAAAAAGAGCATAAAACCTGCCTTCTGTTGAYTTAAGCCTTAAACATTAGAGAAATTAGTTCAAGTTGTTTATTTGAAGCCAGTGGAATAAAGAAATTAAGTTGTATTAAAACCTAACCTCTGAGGAAAAACCTGACTCTAAAACCAATAAAGAGGGTCAGATTTAATCTTGAGCAGCTTAGCAATAAATGAGAAACGGGATTATCACACTTGTCAGATGCCAGCTTTAGCTGAAAATGAAAGTTAAAAGAGTCAAGCTGACAGCAGCCTTGGTATTTAGTTAATCTGCGTCATTAGAGGTTTACTTGTCTTTACTGAGAGAAAAAAAAATGTCCCAAAAAAGGTACTGACTTCCTTCCAAGCCAAAGATKACCTCGAGCTGCGTGGAAAGAGTCTGACAGCTGTCACCCTGTCATTGCACGCCTACATTTAATACACCTCCAGTCTTGATTAAATAAAACACGCATATAGGTGACTAACTAAAAATAAATAATTAAAAGRGACGCAGCCTCTCAGGGGAAATTTGTCTTTTTAAATGTGTCAACAAAAATAGAAAAAAGGGGAGATGGCAGAGTGTGGGGGAGGGGCATCGTTGAAATGTAGGTCAGAAAAACATCCCTGTCCTGCAGAGGGAGGCGGAGCCAGCCAGCAGCAATGCGGCGCTGCCTCGGTGGGTGGAGGTGGGAGAAACATGAGTGTTCATGTGTGTGGAGGGGCACTGCTCGCTGATTCTGCTTACTATGTATTTTCATCTGTGTGTGTGTGTGKGGGGGGGCACAAAACATACAATCAAAAGGAACAATATAGAAGATTAAACACTGAAGACGTGAGGAAGGCTGAAATAGATTTTATGTTCTGTTGCAGCAAAGCTTTCAGTTTTCATAATGACTCAGTAAATTTTATGACYGCAGAGCACAATCCTAAGGAATGGAACTGCACTGAAAAAAAACATGGCAGAAAATTAGTGGAAGTTCRTTCTTCCATTGAAATGACTCCTAATAAGCAGATGGCATGGCTTTCTGCCAGGCTCTAGAGRAAACAAGAGGAGGGGAGTGAGAAAATAAATAGAAACTGAAATGAAGAAAAGGAGATTAGAAAGTGAGAAAGCAGACGTTCGATTTAAGAAGCCGAAAAGAGGTCATGCGGCAGGAATTGTTACAGATGATGAAACCCAAATATTAAATCTGACTGCAGGGTGTTGAAGTGGATCAAAGGGCGATGGGGAGAGAAGTTCAGTGAACAAAGTAAAGAGGAAGAAAGTAGGTCATGGAGTCAGTGAGAGTGCAGGATTCTGAGCGCAGACCGATGATTCAGCATGTTCCTGATGGAGGACTTCTCACCTCACCGATGCTCACCTGTGTTCTGGCGAGCCCACGGACCGTGGTGAACAAGGAGCGTTCGTCTCTCCCGGCCTCTCCTTCCTTCCGTCTCTGACCCAGTTTGTCGTGTTAATTGGGCTGTTTAATTAACACCGCTCTGTAACAGCCCGAGGAGCGAACAGAGTTGCTGCGTGGTTTCACAAATTCAGGCACACATGGGCTGAAAGTAGGCCAACTGCAAAGCCGGAGGGAGGAGGCAGAGCTGACAGTATAGATGAAGCTTTTCTCACAATTTAATGTTCGGACTTTTTTCTGCCACCGTGCTTCCGGCTCTGCGTTTGAACGTAATCCTCAGCGAGTCATCCTCGAAACAAATCGGTTTATCTCGCCAGCACAAACCAAAATGAATCTTTACCTTTTAATACTGATGTCATTCATTCCAGCTTTTCTTCAAGTTTTTCCTCTTGTTTGGCTCAGAACAAGGTGAGCAGGAGGTCACCTTCGGGCCCATCCAGAGATGTTCTCTGTTCCCATCCTTTCACCATTTCACTCCTTCCTACATGGACTCACTTCCTGTCCTCTGTCCGTCTCTCCCTTCTAGACAAACTGTGCTTCAACACTTTCTTCAACAACGAGGACATGCAGGAGATCACCAAGCACTTTGTGATTTGTCATGTTGATGCCCCGGGACAGCAGGTTGGAGCTGCGCAGTTCCCACAGGGGTAAAAAACAAAAAAAGAAAAACGTTTAATTTTTAAAAATCTATTATTTCAACTTTACATCAGTCATTTGAATGAAACATTGTGCATTTGWTTGCACAGGTTCCAGTACCCCACCATGGACCAGCTGGCTGGGATGCTGCCCACTGTGGTGGAGCACTTTGGGTTTGTCTTCTTTACTTTGACTGTGCATCAGTTATATTGTGTTGTTATTTTATTTACACACGCAATATTTTTCATTTATGTTTTTAGACCTGAAGTCATGATCTAACTTTGAATTATTTCCAGGTTTAAGAGCATCGTTGGGATCGGAGTTGGAGCTGGAGCTTATATTCTGGCAAAGTTTGCTGTAAGTGTTTTTGTGTTATRATTAGAAAGGATTGGGTGCCAGCTAAAGAAACAAACAAGTAAACAAACAAAAACACTGTTTTGTGTCTGCAATGGGGTGCAACAATCCACTTACAGTATCTGTATCGAACCGTTCAATTATGATGCTTTAGGTTCAGTCTGGAACAAAACAGATTTAAAAAATGTATTTTATCAGCTTGTCTTCTGAAGCTGCTCTGTGCTGAAGGATCAGTGGATCTGGGTTCGACTACTCCACCTAGGCTGCATTTTTGAGCACAGATCCACTGAGACACTTGCAACATTTAATTTAAAAACTGTATTTTGAGGTTAAACAAATGTTCATAATTAATTTCAATAAATTATAATTTAAGAAGGGCATAGAAATTTCCCTTTTTTGTGTAGAAAAATATTGAACCATGACAATAACTAAAGTATCAAACCGGACCAAGTTCACTCTGAGTCTGGAACAATGTAATCCACTAGTTATAAACTTTAACATATAGAAGCTTTAATTTGAAGCTTTTTCATGTCAACTACTAAAACCAATGCATGYATTATAATATAAAAACAATCAGCTGTAATGTAAAAAAATGCATTTGATATACACAACCAACACTATTTGTTGAAATGATAGTGAGGTAATTTAATATGCTGGTTTGAGAATAGTTAAATCGTTCCTTCAAAAGAAAACTAAGCACATTAAACATTTGATTTTTACACGTTTAGACCTTTTTTTGGTAAAAAAAAAAAAAAAGGTTTGTGCTCCGAGTTTTTACTTGTAGTTATTAAGCTGCTCACTTCCTGTTGAAACAAGCTTCCACACAACAGTCAGAGTTGCAGAAATAAGTGTATTCTCTGTTCTGTTTGCAGCTGATCTTCCCTGATCAGGTGGAGGGTCTGGTTCTGCTCAACATTGACCCGAATGGAAAAGGATGGATTGACTGGGCTGCCTCCAAGGTTCTTTTCTTTCGTCGTGCTATTTGTGCTTTTTTAGATCTTATAATTGATTTTATAATATGAGTTTCCTCGTTGTTTCTTCAGCTGTCAGGGCTGACCAGCAACATCCCAGATGTCGTGCTGCCACATCTTTTCAGCCAGGTAAGATCCCTGAACTGCATTTCTATTTCTGTTTTCAGCTGAAATAATCTGAATAGTTTAGAGGAAAACAAAGCTCAATATTTCAACCCAAACTCTCAGAGACAGATGTTTGGTTGAGATGCTTCTTTAAAAATAAATCTCATAAAATGCTTGAAATACTGTAATATAAGCAAATCTTCTTCCACCAATCATTCATATAATTGTGTGTGTGTGTTGTGTGTGTGAGGCTGTGTCATCCGGCTGGACTGACTCATCCCTGCAGCACACTGCAGGATCTGGGTCAGCCCCATGCAAACAGACCAAAATAATCCCTGTAAAACCGTTACTCATGCACACTTTCCTTTAAATGTTGATTATCTGCAACCAGAGTTTGTGAAATGTTTTCACTGCAGTGCATTCTCTCAAAAACATCATCACTGAAATAAATGTTTTTGCCTTTCAGGTTGAGTGCAACTCCAAACTGGACCCAACCAACACCACCTTCTTAAAGGTAAACACTGATCTCACCACAGCTGCTGCAGACTCACAACATTAATGGTTTTTAAGAACTAAGTTTCATCAGGAATAAATAATGTTTCCTTTTGATTTTTATTTCATGAGTGATTTTAATTTTACAGGCAGTTTTCAACCTTTTTGTTTGTATTGTTTTTGCAGAAAAGCTCTTTTCTTTTCATATTGTTTTAAAGAAATCACAGAAAACAACTAATTTCCTGCAGTGACATTTGACACAGCATTGTTAATTTACCAACTAATAAAAATATCCAAAAGATTGGATTAAAGCACAAATTAAATATAACTAACACAGTCAGGAATATTTGCCATTTAAAAGATCTTCAAAAGCACGATTCACATATGATCAAAAATCCATCCATGCATAAAAACATTTTCTTTACCTGCTTTTTTTTTTTTTTTTTTTTTTTTTTTTGGTCATAGGGAGTTTTTATAACCAAACGTAGGGTACAACCTGGACAGATCATGAGTCCATTACAGGGACGCAGAGAGATAAATGAGACAAATGACCATTCACACTCTCTCTTTCACACCTTGGAACAATTTAATCTAAATGTTATGAGCCTCTGCTGCCCTCTTTAAAAC